TACCAGTGTTTTCAATGCGCGAGGCGCAAGGCGCGGCGCAAAGCATCTTTACGCGGACATGCGCAAGGCGCAACGCAACGCGTGTGCCCGAGTGATGCGAGGCGCACACCGCACACATAATATTTCAATATATGTAATCAAGCGCGAAAGAACATGTTTTTAGAATTTACATGATAAATAATATCTTACTACAAAATCACAATATAATGCCTTAATTTCTAATGCTAACACCCAACATAGTAGCAAATTTCATAAATTTTCAAATCAAATGTTAAATCAAGACTAATATCCAAGTAAAGGATTAGTCATGGTCCTCAATCGAAGGCTATTAAAAAGGCCTAATGGATTTATTTTGCTTTTTGGGATATGGAATATCAAGTATAAAGACTCGATTGAAATGTTAACAAACAAAATTATATGAGGATATGTACTACATGCATCCTGCACAAAGTAAGGATGTACGCGAGGCGCAAAAGGCGCTGTTGCATCAGATGTGGGTCGCTTCGCCACCGTCCCGCATCGTAAGGCGCATGAGGCGCAATGAGGCGCGCGTCTTTGAAAACACTGCCCAATACCCTTAACATCCCAGTCATAGAGCTGATGAGAGGAGTTTGTTTGATTCCCTCGACATTTCAGTCCCTGAACTGATGAGAGGAAGAGTGTATATCTCACGGAGATGAGATATATCACTTTCGATTCTTGTTTCCTCTGAGAAACAAGAATTTTGTTGAGATCTTACTCTTGTTGTGCAGCTGAAGTGCTGTCGAAATTTTCACTGCGCACAACAAGGGTTTGAAGAAACAGGTGAACAAGTGTTGGGTCTGAAGCCTGATCGATAGAGGAGATCATCAAGAAGTTAAACCCTGCGGAGGTGTCAACTTTGATGAAGCTGATGAAGTTGTCGGCTGGTGAGAGCGCGACAAAACCATCGAAGAAATTGGAGCTTCCGACCATCGATCTGAAGCTTGATGGACCAAGTACTTACCTGAGCTGGTCGCGACGGGTGAGATACACCCTTGCAGGGAGGAACCTGGATGGTTACTTGACAGGAGAAGCTACAGAGCCGGATGAGGACTCGGAGGGAAGAGATGAGTGGAAGTCCACTCATATGTTGGTATACATCTGGCTCCTCAACTCGTTGGTCCAGTCGATCGCCGTAACAGTGGATGACATTAAGAAGGTGAAGGACGTTTGGAAAAAGTTGAGGAGGACCTATGATGGAGTGGAGAATAACCTGAGGGTGTTTCAGATTAAGGGAGAGATCCGACGTCACAGTCCAGGGAGATAGGACTGTACAGGAGTATGCCACAGAGCTGGAGCGGCTGTGGCTAGATTATGATTACTTCTCACCTCGGGCGAGCTACAAGGACCCGGGATGTAAAGAACGGGAGGTCTTTCTACAGGAGAGGACTATGGTGTTTCTCAAAGGATTGACATCAGAGTTCGCTCAGCGAATTGTATTACTGCTAGCTCAGCCGAAGATTCCCACGTTTGAGGAGGCTGTCTCTGCTATGATTCAGGAGGAGATTCGCATTCGGCTACAGGCGGGGACAGGTGGACTTCCTGTGGTGAAGTCAGCACTGACAGTCTCTAACAACACTGGATCCAGGAGAGAGACTCGGCAGTGCTACAATTACGGTACAGTGGGTCATCTAAGACATGCTTGCACCAAGCCACCCAAGGAAAGAGATTCGGGTGGACGTGGACAGTTCGGAGGTCGTGGTCATGACCGTGGGGGTCGACGAGGTAGAAGAGGAGCAGGAAGCCGGGCGAATCTGATGATAGCAGAGGGAGAAGAAGAAGCTGAGGTGATCTTTACTGAGGAGGATCATGCTCTCCTGACGATACTCAGGAGGAAGCAGAAAGCAGCAGGGGATGGGGACTTGAGGAGTGGGACTGAGGAGGCATCCACTTCGTTCTTCGTCAGAGGCAACACTGCTACCTATGCTCATCCGACCAAAGGTATTGATGACATACATGCTCTTGCTTCTATGTCTCCTGACAGATCATCAAAATGGATAGTCGACTCCGGTGCGTCTCGACATGTGACAGGTAATGCTAGTGAGTTCTCATCATATACTCACCTAGCATCGCCTGATAGTATTCAAACAGCTGATGGTATATTTCAGCCGGTGGTTGGTAAGGGTACAGTCGATTGTACTAGTTCTGTAACTTTATCCAATGTTTTGCATGCTCCTTCCTTTCCGGTCAATCTTTTGTCCATTAGTTCTATCATCCTCCAATTAAAATGTATTGTTTCTTTTGATATTCCCAAGGTGATTTTCTAGGAGAAGGAGACAGAGCGGAGACTTGGGACTGGCACATGGCGTAGTGGATTGTGCTATCTGGATCGTGAAGGGCTGGATTCAGCGTTAGTGTCAATCGTGGAGAAATCAGGAGTAGGATTTAAAATATCTGGATCGTGAAGGGCTGGATTCAGCGTTAGTGTCAATCGTGGAGAAATCAGGAGTAGGATTTAAAATGAGTGCTGAGAGTGAGTTAATGCTCAGCGTTAGTGTCAATCGTGGAGAAATCAGGAGTAGGATTTAAAATGAGTGCTGAGAGTGAGTTAATGTTTCATCACCAGCGTCTGAGACACTCATCCTTTAGTGTTTTAAGTAGATTGTATCCATCTTTATTAGAGAAAACAAATAAACAGAAACTTGTGTGTGATGCATGTGAGTTTGAAAAGCTTACTAGAAGCTCTTATGTTAGTTCTGGTCATAGAAGTTCTCATGCATTTGACTTGGTACATTCAGATATTTGGGGGTCTTGTTCCATAAGTTCTATGAATGGATACAAGTATTTTGTTACCTTTATTGATTGTTTCTCTCGTGTTACTTGGTTATACCCGATGAAAAATAAGAATGAAGTGTTTGGTTGCTTCCAAAACTTTCATAGGAATGTTCAGACTCAATACGGAGGAGTGGTGAAGGTATTGAGGTCGAATAATAGGACAGAGTATACCAACAGAGCGCTTGAAGAATATTTGTCAGCTCAGGGAATACAGCACCAGACAACCTGTCCATACACACCAGCTCAGAATGGGGTTGCGGAAAGAAAGAACAGACATCTTTTAGAGGTTGCTAGAAGCATGATGATCTCTATGAATGTCCCGGAAACATTATGGGGGCAAGCAGTATTGATCGTTGTAACACTGATCAACAGAATGCTCTCGAGAGTACTGGATTGGAAGTCTCTGTGTGAGACGTTGAAGGGAGATAATGGTGGGATTCTTCCACTTAAAGTGTTTGGCTGTGTGTGCTTTGTGAAGGACAACAGGCCATCCATCGGGAAGCTTGTCCTTAGAGCTGTGAAGTGCATCTTTGTGGGATATTCTGTTACTCGGAAGGGATATGTTTGCTGGAGCCCGGTGGAAAAAAAATTATTTGTGAGCATGGATGTGCACTTTCGAGAACTCGAGCCATATTACACCCGGAATGTAACTTCATCCATTGGTAACTCGCCCAATACTAGAAGTATGAGGCGAGAGGAGGAGAATGGTGAGAGATCGGTGAACAATGTGGAGAAATCAATTTCGAAATCAATTTCTGTATCGATTCCTTGGAAGGGAGAATTGGTTGAGGAGGAGCAGGAGAATGAAGAAGAAAAAGAAAATGAGACAAGAGGTGTTAGGTCCACGGTTCAGGGGAGCTACTAACCTATAGTAGGAAGGGGAAGCAAATTATAGGAACAGTACCTACAGTGTCACTAGTGCTGCCCAGTCTCTTACCAACGCCTATCCCGACTCCTGAGACACCGACACCACCATCAGATTCATCCCAAGGTGATAACATTCCTCTTCCTACTACTCCCACATCAATATCAGTACGGAGGACTACTCGTAGTAATACGGGAAATCCTCCCGATAGATATGGATGAGATCTTGCCCAATTTGTATCATATTCTAACATTCATCCTGCACATGGAGCATTCATTGCATCATTGGACTCTGTTACTGTACCTAACAATTGGTAAGATGCTAAAAAAGACCCAAAGTGAAAAATGGCGATGCACGAAGAGCTAGGGGCCTTTGAGAAGAACCGCACTTGGGAGTTAGTAAAACTATCAAAAGGAAAGAGAGCAGTTGGATGCAAGTGGGTCTTCACTGTGAAGCAGAATCCAGACGGACAGGTTGAGCGTTACAAAGCTCGTCTGGTGGCAAAAGGATATAGTCAGACATATGGGATCGACTATGATGAGACTTTTACACCGGTGGCGAAGATGAGTACTATTCGAACCTTGATCTCTCTGGCAGTAAATGATGGATGGAAGCTACACCAATTAGATGTGAAGAATGCATTTCTTCATGGAGATCTGGTGGAAGAGGTATACATGGAAATTCCGCCAGGATTCGACACAGATCAGACAGTGGGCAAGATCTGCAAATTAAAGAAATCTCTCTATGGGCTGAAGCAGTCTCCCCGCGCTTGGTTCGACAAATTCAGGAAAGCTATGCTAGGTATGAGGTACCAGCAGATTAACGCCAATCATACCGTGTTCTTTCGACAAAATGAAGGTCACATCACCATACTTGCGGTATATATGGATGATATGATTATTACAGGGGATGATGAGAAGGAGATTGCCCAACTCAAAGTGAGACTGGGTAAGGAATTCGAGGTGAAAGATCTTGGCTTGCTTCGATACATTCTTGGAATAGAGATAGCTCGAGGAGCGGAGGGGATTATCCTATCCTAGAGAAAGTACGCACTGGATCTTCTCAAAGAGACAGGGATGTTAGGGTGCAAATCTGTAACTACACCGATCGATCAGAAGTTCAAGCTGGGTGCTGAAGCTGGAGAACCAGTTGATCGTGACAGATACCAAAGGCTGGTGGGCAGGTTGATCTATCTGAGTCACACACATTCCGATATTTTTTTTGCAGTGAGCGTGGTGAGCCGCTACATACATGATCCGAGGAAGGATCATATGGACGCTGTATACCAGATTCTGAGATATTTGAAGAGTGCCCCCGGAAAAGGGCTGATATTCAGAAAGAATGAACATGTGAGTATTGAGGGTTACTGCGATTCTGATTGGGCTAACTGTGCTGATGACAGGAGGTCCATCTCAGGATACTGCATTTTTATAGGAGGCAACTTAGTCTCGTGGAAGAGCAAGAAGCAGTCAGTGGTGACGAGATCGACAACTGAGGCAGAGTATAGAGCTATGGTCTTAGGAGTCTCTGAGTTGCTATGGTTGAAGAGTATGCTGGTGGAGCTGAAGCTGGATCAAGGAGCTAAGATGAAGTTGTGGTGTGATAACAAGTCAGCTATCAGTATCGCCAACAACCCAATGCAGCATGATAGAACCTAACACATCAAGATCGATAGGTTCTTCATTAAAGAGAAGTTGGATAGTGGACTACTGGAGCTAAGTCATGTTTCAACTAAGGACCAGACAGCAGATTGTCTGACTAAGGGACTTAGCTCATTAGATATGATTAGAGGATGTGACAAGATGAGCTTAGTAGATATCTTTCGCCCATTTTGAGGAGGAGTGTTGACATATTAAGTATAGTTAAGAGGCTTATTTGTAAGATATATTTGTAGGGCCTATATAAGCCCATATTATCTCACTTATTGAATTAGGGTTTTCATATTCTATTATTTCAATTCAAAAAATCTCACTTATTGAATTAGGGTTTTCATATTCTATTATTTCAATTCAAAAAATAACAATTTGAAAGATTGACTATTATCAATTTTAAGAGTCCTTTTCTATTCTAAATGGTAGAGTTTTTTTTGAAACAACTCCTTATAGTTTTTTTATTATTAGGAAAAAGTATTATCTATATTGATTTTAGTTGATATTTAACAAAGGAAAATCAGCTTTCTCATGCTCCAATAACTTCATTCCCAGGTCTCAAATTTATAAGGATATTACATCATTACATTTTTTGAAAACTATATCTTAGAAATATTGGTGTATTTTTGAGCAAATTCAAACTTTAGGATATAAAACTTAAAAAAGATGTGACCTTAGTGTATTAAACACAATTAACCTGTTTCATGTATAATTTTTTGTGGAATTAACCCTTTTCATATAAAAATTTAGAATAAATTAGTTTAATATCTACTGCACGTACATTTGCACATTCTGCAGGCCTGCAATGCTAGTGTTCTATAATAATTTTTGGTCATTGATATCTTGTAGGACCTCATATTTGAGGTTGAAGTTAGTTTGCATTGACAAATGTTTAGTTCACTTGGATTATGTCTGTTTTATTTAATATTAGCATTTATTATGTGGTAGTTGTGGTCTCATTGATATAGGACATCTAGTGTGGGGATTGTGGGTGTGATTAATGCATTCTAGATTATGTGGGTTGCAGGAGTATGGTCTATGGACTACTCAATGTGACACAGATGTAGATTACAATTATTATTTGGATCTATGCTTTTGGTTTTTAGCTTATAATGAAAAACTTGTGTTGCATTACGTCAGGGGCCTTTTAATTTCTCTAATGATTGTTTTGTATAAGTAAATTCTATGAAAGGATACATGACATCAATTAACTGGTGCTTCACGCTATACTGTAATTGCAATGGCTAATAGTACATAGACCCCCTTGCAGTATTGTTGTTTAGTTTTCACTTTAATGCCATGTGGTTTCATCGTTGCGTATAGGGCCTAGCAGCGAATGGCAACTCACATGGGTGAGTTGTTCCTCTGGAAGAAGAGAAAATGGTAATGACCTTGATTTGTTTGGACGGATTAAATTGCTTAATGAAGTTTGGGTATATTATCTGATGCAGCTTCATTCCTCCCATGAGTTTTATTTTTTCTGTCCTGTCTGCCATGATCTGGTCCCAACCTTGGGATAAAGCAGAGCTGCTTTAGATAGCTCAAAGTTGTTGCATGTCTACATAATGAAATATTTCTAGAATAAATTTTGGGGGCAGCTGAGGGTTGTTATTGTAAGCTTTACCACTGATTTACTTCCAACTTTTTACTGCAAGGTCTTTGAGGAGAAGCTTTGTTTACTTCTGTTACTTTTCAGCGAAAGGTCTTCAAGAAAAGCTTGGTTTACTTTGGACATTAATAATCTGATCTCTTTCATATACAGGAGTGAGATATCTATATGTTTTACAGTGTGACCAGACATATCCACAGTTAGCAAGCTCATTCCTTTAGAGTCATCATTCTTTCTCTACTAGTTACCTATGAGATGCTGCTCTGTAGTCTGTAGATTTAAAAGCTTAGCTAGGTGGCTCTATTAATACTCAATCTCTTAATTATCTTACTTTTGTGTAGAGATATTATTTATGATTCTGTATGAAATGTATAGGTCCATTAATTAAATGTAAGGTGAATAACTTTTATGCAGCTTCACAGTTGTAACATTCAGTGAACTTTGTTCTGAGCAGTCAGGATATAGGTGGTGGAAAGTAGAGCTTTGAGAGTGGTCATATTGTTTTCATAGTTGTCCTAGGTTATCATAAAGATGTTTTTGGCTTTAAATCCTAAGTTTGACTCCCATTTATTTATAAACCCACTTACTTCGATCTATATCCATACATGCAAGATACTTTCTTTTTGGCTTTAAGCCCAAAATATTAAATGCACCTTATTTCTATACAATATTTACAAAACAACGTTAAAAACGCCAAGATGCCCTTGTCTTCCTCCACCTCCTCTTTTAACCCATAACCCATTCTTCTCCCTCTTCTCATCCTCTCCACTCGCTTCACCCCTTTGTTTGGGTTCCTCTACCCTCACAATCTCTCCTCCTCCCTCTTCTCCTACCTTGAGCTCCTCTCGTCCACTTCTCTCCTTTCTCCTTCCTTTCCTCTGCCACCTCCTCTCTCCCTTCTCTAATATGTGTAAGTACAGTAACAACACATAAATATAGCAACAAAATCTATAACTATGGCAACAACAGATGTAATTGTAGTAGCAAAACCTATAAGTCTAGTGACAACCCACGTAAGTATAACAACAAAATCTGTAAGTATAGCGAGGAAGCATGTAAGTATGCAACAAAATCTGTAAATTGATGATAAGAAGGAAAAAGAGGTGAGATGTTGGGGGAGGAAGAGGGATGAGATGGTGAAGGAGAGGGATGAGGTGGGGG